TTAAAAAAATACACACACAAATAAGAACTTACTTTATTTCAATGTTTCTGTTCAAATATTTGTGCAGCTTATGTAGTGTGAAAACTGTGTCTGTTGTTTTTTTTTTTTAGGATTTCGTCTTTGTTTGTTCAAATGTGCGATGAGCAGACATTCATTCCTTCTTCAGTTCAGCGTAGTCTTCCCCGATTCTTACATTTTATGTTACCTAGGGTTGAGAAGCCTAATTCACATAAATAAAAAGTAGAAAATTGAAATAAAACATAATATATATATATATATATATATATATATATATATATATATATATATATAAACAGCCAGGTAAACCTACCATGGCCAGTTGACTAAACAGCCAGGTTTACCTGGCTCTTTAGGTTCATATTTAGGTTTGCTCTGCTTAGTGTATTGAGCACTTTACGTGGCCAGTTGACCCGTTTTGGACGATCCGTAACTCTGAGGGAAATTGTTTTCTAGGTTTTGGACAATTGTTTTCGTTTTTACCTTTTTTATCCTTTATTTTCCCTTGTACTTCATGTGTGTACCTAAGGTTTTTCAAACGTATACCTATTTAAATTATATATATATATATATATATATATATATATATATATATATATATGTGTGTGTGTGTTTAAAAAAGCATATATATATATATATATATATATATATATATATATATATATATATATATATATATATATATATATGTATTATATATATATATATATATATATATATATATATATATATATATATATATATATAATTTATAGGATATTGCTTATAGAGAAAGACCATCAGGACATTTTTTGTAACTCATTCCTCTCAAGCAAGTCTTAAATGCCACTAACACGACTGCGATTGAAAGAAAATGACAAAACTTTAGCAAGGAGAAATGACAATAAAATAATGGGAATTTAAAAAGACGAAAGATGACGATTGACATTGGATTTAATGTTTTTTAAATATCGTAGTTAACAGGAGAGCAAGTAGACGGAAAGGTATTCCATAGTCGGGAAGTGAAAGTAAAGAAATCTTAATCATTCTTACGTCTAGATCAGACTTTCTCAACCTTTTTAATCAACAGCACACCTAGGAGCCAATGAAAATATCACGACACACTTAGCAGAACATTTTAAGAGTATAAACTAAGAAACTGACTGAAATTTTAGAAAATGAGAAAGTTTTAGAATGAAATAATGGGAAAATAATATATATATATATATATATATATATATATATATATATATATTGAATTCACATTCTTCAAATATTTGTGCAACTTATTTAGTGTGAAACCAGTGCCTGGTATTTTTCACAATTTGTTCAATGTTTAGTCGTATGTGCGAGTAATTTATTATTAACTATAACCTTATATTTCTGAGATGGGGTATTATGTACATTATTTACATTATTCGGACTATTGTCTCCGTCTTTGTCGCCATATTTATTACAACGTTTCGGCCGTTGCACGTGCCATGTTTAATGGATATCAGTTATCTCCTATTAATTCCCTTCACAGTCCTCAAGGACACATGGCACAGTGGATTCCAAACAGTGTGAGTTCAATACTCCGTTAAGGCAGTGGAGAATAATATCATATATATATATATATATATATATATATGTGTGTGTGTGTGTGTGTGTGTGTGTGTGTGTGTGTGTGTGTGCGTGTGTGATGTGTATCATAAAATAAAAAAAATAGCACAATAGTGTATGTTCAGTAGATGTTCTTATTTAAAATTCCTGATGACAGGAGTCACTCGTGCGTTGTTTCCGCTCCAACACCGATTTTGAATTCTGACTTGTTTACATCTGTGCTCTGCCGTTGACGCTCTTTCAGTTACATTTTAATTGTGCTTTAGAATACATTTTTGACCATGGCTCAGAAGTAAATCTCAGCGCAAGTGCTAATTCTAAGCGTAAGACACTGGAAGATAAGGTGGAAATTAATTATTTTATTAAGAATTCTGTACGTACTTAAATACTGTGATATGCAACGGGGAGTGTTTATTTGCAGTTTAGAGTATGTTTATTTCGACGTAAGTCATTTCTCGACCTAAGTCCTGACCTCTTGAACCAATTAATGACATAGGTTTAGGTATACATGCATAAGTTATGTATAACAAATATTCGAAATATCTAATTCCTGTATTTATTTAAATTGTTTACATTCGGACTAACGTCCTCAACATTGTTATTATTATCACAACGTTTCGATGGCTTTATCCTCCGGCCTTCTTCAGACGTATGTCGAACCGTGTAATCTACAATGAATTTTGAACTGAACTCTTTACTTACATTTACATTCAAATTAATGTCTTCGTCTATGTTATTATTACCATAACGTTTAAACCGTGGTGCACTTCTTCAGTAGTATGTTTGATCCGGGTAACCTTCAAAGAATTTTGAACTGAAACTTTTATTTACATTATTTGCATTCAGACTAATGTCTCCATCATTGCTATTATTATCACAATGTTTTGGCGCTTGAACTCTCCGGGCTTCTTCAAATGTATGTTGGTCTGTGCAACCTACAGAGAATTATGAACTGAACTATTTATTTATATTTACAGTAGGATTATGGTCACCATCTTTGTTATTATTACCATAACGTTTCGACAGTTGTATCTTCCGGCCTTCTTCATTTGTATATTGCTCCGGGTAACCATCATTGGTTTCGAAAGTGATCCTATTATTTACATTTGTAGTAATGTCTTCATCTTTGTTTGTTATCGGCGCAAGGTTTTAACCGTTGTTACGATGACGACAAAGATCAGGACATTCGTCACACTAATCCCGAGGCGATAAAGATATTTATCCT